ATTTGGCCTCTAGGGACCTCAAATCGAAAAAAAAATCCGTCCCGGGTCCAGGTCTCACCATGAGTACTACGGTAATAGCTTATTCCCTAAATGGGAAATTCGCTAAAAGTATATCGGCCCCGGCTCTAGGTCTTACCGCGCCACCTACGGTAATAGCTACTTCCCTATAATAATAGCTTGCCATTTTTAAGAGTTGTTAGCCTCCGGATTACGTTTGAATATTTATAATGGTTTAAATACCTGCATTCAAAGAAATGCAGAAAGAAAGAACAGAAAGAAATGTTAAACACCTGTACGGCCTGAAGATGGTTCCCTGTGAACCGAAACTATAGTTGCCACAAGCAGCATAATGGATTACTGAATGCAGGTATTTAAACCATTATAAATAGCTTGCCGGTTAAACCGCCAATAGTCAACGGCTTCGATTTCACAACGGGAACCAGGCCTGACTAAAAATTCCCAAAAACGAAATCTTCAACGGGCACCGATGTCTTCGTCGGATTCCCACCATAACCGGAAGGTGGTAAAAATTGCTGGACGTCAAAGAAATTCTATTTTATGACGAAGGGGAGGAGCACCAACCGTCCCGGGTGAATAGGCAGATGCCTAGCCTAGATACTTTTCGCGCCAAATTTGCATTTCCGGTCTCGTTGCAGATGCGCCTGTTTCGCAACCCTTCGTTGCACTTGTGTTTTTAACTTGTATGGGACACGTGGAGCGGGGCCAAGTAAGAGGTGAATAACCCAGACTAGAGTCAAGGTAGAGTTGAAAGTTACACGAACACAATTCCGTAACTTAAATTCATAATCTGTTGATCTGCATTTGATTTAGTTAACAAAAGTGAAAAAAATTATCAAAGCATGATAAATGCTTAATACATGAATATTAAGTAACAGACACGTAAATGACGAATGATAAGAGCAAGAAATTGACGCTGAACGCTTCAAATGAACTTTGGATTCAAATATTGGAACCATCGAGTATCTAGCCCAAGTGTTCAACAAGGCGCAATCACCCAATCAGAATGACTGGTGAACATCTTTTTTTGTCACACCAATAATTTTAGACATTGGTATTGATAGCTTTGCCTTTTATTCTTAAATTGATAACTTTAAACTTTACCGTACATTGTTTGTGAGTAAAAAAACATCATCTACAAAACTCTGCAATCATGTTATTTTCTAAAATGTCACTTAATGTTATGTCAAAAATGTTACTTTTTAATAAATGTCTCACTGTACTGTATTTACATTCTGATCATCTACTACCCCAACTGAGCATGTTAAACAGTAGAAATGCTTGAATGGACAGTGGGGCCTTGATGGACGCCAGTTTTATAGATAGACAGTTGGAAGGAAACGTAATTCTTGTTCCTCGTGTTATGTTTAGTTTGCTCAGATTATTCGGCCAGAAAGGGATGAGTGAATTGTACTCTACAGTAGTAAATCAGGTCATTGTTGAGGAGATTTGAGTCTTAATGCCGTATACGGATGCATTTCAAGATAAAACCAAGTGAAAATCGTAATCCGTAGGTACCTTACTTGAAAGAAATTAAAGTCTCAATTCTTGTCTTTCAATTTCGTTCAATAACTACAGTATTCAGTTAGTGATTTTACAGGTAATTAAAAATGGGTAGGAATCTCGGTCTCAAGTGGCAAGACAAGGGAACCCTTTCAAAACGTAAAAAAAATGCCATTGGCGTAAATAACACACAAAATAAAAAATATATGTTTATAGTACCCATGAATCTGTACGATGGAAGTGGGTTCCAAAAGACCAAGGCAATTAAATAATATGAGACCACGATTGGTTTATCATTGTTTACACCCCTGAAACGTAAAAAGGAAGCAAATATCCAAATTCACAAACCATCTTAAGCTTATCGTCAAAGGTAAAATTGTCTACATTTTTGCAAAGAAATCAAAAGAAGTGAATATCAAACTCACGCCTACAAACCAACTTTGCAACCTTTGAAGATAACGTTAGTAATTGTTGTGTTATATAGTTCGATGGTAATTTTACGCCACACTACATTATTTTGACAAACTTCCCACGCAAAGATTTAGTCCAGAAAACAGCTGTTGGCCGCCAGCTCAAATGGGGTTTCATTGCGTACTACTGTACTGTAATGAGTTTTACCGGACACCAATCAGCTGATTATACTGTATTTAGGTGGCAATGAGTGGTTATAAACAAAAACATAACCTCTTTTAGAGGTTAAGAAGTAACCTCTTTTAGAGGTTATGACTAGTGATTTTTTTGTCCTTTAGTTGGTGGAAATATATAAGGATTTGCACAGATTTAGTAGTATGGCGTAAACTATCGTACGTATAACCACAGACAAGGGAAACAAAGGTATAACTCGTCCAAAATGTGTGTGCCGGACTCGAATGGTAATCCCGTAGGCCTACTCGACTTCGTCTCGCACGGGAACGACCACACTCGTCCGGTAAACACGTATTTTCAGGACTAGTAACGTAATATACCTATTATTACCTACGACCGTTATATAATATTAGCCGTTTCAGTTCAGTTCAGTTCTTAGAATTGAAAAGTTTCACATAAAGCATTGTTACTTTCATAACAGCATAGTTTACTCATAACAACACGGGTAACAGACCAATAAGATTCAAGGATTGAGAGAGAAGAAGTAAAACTGTAATGATGTGAGCTTCAATAAATCAGCTGTTCAGGCCAATTTCATTGTTGAATTGTGCAAAATTAGTGTTTGTTACATGTGTCGTTGCATCACTGTCAGTGGCAATGAGAGGCTATAAACGAAAACATAACCTCTCTTAAAAGTGATGAGTAGCAATTTTTAGTGTATTTTTAGTACTCGCGTAAATAGTGTTAACGACACTCGAAAAAGTTTCTCGCCAAGGCTCGTACCTTAAATTTTCTACTCGTGTCGTTAACAATATCATTACGTAACGAGTACGAGTTCATTTCAAAGACGTTTGCCCATATCTGACCGAATACGGAAATATCAACTACACTACAGAGGGATATAGAGAGAATGAGTGAAGGAAGAGTGGGGAGATGACAAAAAGATGACGAGATGAAGACATGTATCAGAGCAGATCACGTTTGTCGGGGGGATTGATGAAGGGGAGGGGGTAGACGGATACTGGACAGCCGTCAATTCCCACACTCGGTATTAATATTTATATCTGCCAGTCTACAACTACAGCTGTCTGAAGAACTGCTGAAACAAGAACAACACGACGCATTTACCACCTCAAGTGAGCAGCACGGAACAGGTTGACACTGTGTCCACGGGCATATTAGAATGGATATTCGTTACATCAGCAGCCTAAGTTTTTACTCATAAGAAAAAGGTGCCATGAACATGATCATGAGATCGTAATCATCAAGGGTCCAAGAGTCAGAAACGGAACTGATCTCATAACGGAACATTAATTCTACAGTATACTCAGGGAGCTTAAATACTCGAGGAAATGCCAAAACTGAGTTACCACTCCTTTTTGGCTCAATTTGGCTTTGCCATTATAATCGTCGAAAGTCATCTACTTCTCAAAGGGACTAAAATCTATATTTAAATTTAAAACTATCACGCCTTTCTAATAAAACGACTCCATGGAGTAGTTAGAGAAAATCAAGTATTTTTAGGAGGGTATGCGTGAGAAAGAAGAGGAACCGGACGGACTACATTAATATTTTACCCGTTGGACTTAGTGAAATTGGACTTAATGAACCTCACCCATTATTCAAACCTACAAACAGTTGGTGAAAGTAAACATCTGCTTTTAAATTATATTTATTTGTCAACATTGTAGAAACTATCGAGTTTTCGGAGTACTGGTACATACATAAACATACATACATAGTTCCTCTTTTATAAATATATATTTTACTCTTAGCCTACCAAGATATTTTTTTTACCTCAAATAGAATAATGCAGCTGACTCGAACACAGCTAATCTGTCTTTATTCTTGGATAGGAGGTTTCCAATGATCTCTTAGTTCTCTTTCAGCTGTACTACAGGAAGCCTTACAGATGTTCAGATAACTCATCAATAAGTTTTGACAGGACCTTGCAAGATGATTCAAGTTCCTCACAATATTTGCTAGTGACATTTCCACGTTATTCTCCTTGTCAGGTTTGGTCTGCATACAATACATCATATGCTATCTCCTCGAGCTTAACATTTTCTTATGTTTCACCTAATTTTTTATAATATAACGGTTTTTTAAAGTAGTATTGAAAGTAGTAAAATAGAAAAGATGCAAGACTAGACAAGTGGATTTTCTTACGGGGGAAGATTGGACATTCGGTCTAAGCCAGGGCAAGGTAAATAAAGTCTCAAAGTATTATGTGTAATGATTTATGTTTATTCTAATTAATTGTTTCTACAATTTTTTATATGCATAACACTTTAACTGTTAACATTTAGAATACAAAGGGAGACTAACTGAGTTATCAAATGCGATAAGTGTTTGGGAGCCTGCAAAAGTTAATCCCAACCTAAGTATTATCCCACAGAACAAAAATACAGTTATAAAAGACAATAATTCTACCTATTCTGTTATATGGAAGCAAAACATAGGTATCATCCCCGAAAAATGAAAAACATTCATGGTTTTTAAAATAAAGTCCTAACAAGACTGTATGAAGTTTGGAGAACCACACCTAGAGGTAAACGTCCATTGTGAAGGCCGAAATTGAGATGGACTGACCATGTATTGAACGATGTTAGGACAATGGGTGCAAACATCAACTTGGCAGAGGACAGTTCGGATGGAAGAGGCTGGTACATGAGGTGAAGAATCGACTGAGATTTATGGGGCCACAGCAGTATGAAATTACAAACACTTTAATGTTGTTCTAATATGATTCATTATATGTTTTTTTTATTAGCTTTTTTATTAAATGGTTTTCAAACAAGTTATAGGGACGCTTAGGTGTATGACTTACAGTAATACAAATTTATCATAACTGTTTTATATGAGGATTCTTTACAAATAATCCACTAATAAGGTCGCTTGTATGAACCAATTGATGTTCTTTCAATTTGCTTTCAGATACAAAGGATTCTTCACATGTGAAGCAGTTATAAGGACGCTCATTGCAATGAATTAATACATGATGCTTACAATTGCCTTTGCTTTAAGAAGGAGTTCCCACTGTAGTACAGTTGTGTTTATCTCCCGTATGAACCAAAATATGTTTTTTCAAATTATCCTTTGATTTGAAAGCTTTTTTACATGTATTACATTTATAAGGATGTCCATTGCCATGAGTTAATAGATGTCTTTTATAACTGTTTTTTAATGCAAAGGATTTTCCACATGTAGAACACTTATGAGGTCGTTCTTCTGTATGAACCCTTGCATGTACTTTCAAATTGCTTTTAGATACAAAGGATTTTCCACAAGTAATGCAAATATGAGGTCGCTCTCCTGTATGAACCATTTTATGTACTTTCAATTTGTTTTCAGTTACAAAGGATTTTCCGCATGTAATACACTTATGAGGTCGCTCTCCTGTATGAACCATTGTATGTAGCTTCAATTGGCGTGTAGATACAAAGGATTTTCCGCATGTAGTGCATTTATGAGGTCGCTCTCCTGTATGAACCATTGTATGTAGCTTCAATTGGCTTGTAGATACAAAGGACTTTCCGCATGTAGTGCATTTATGAGGTCGCTCTCCTGTATGAACCATTGTATGTTTTTTCAAATTGCTTTTAGATACAAAGGATTTTCCACAAGTAATGCAAATATGAGGTCGCTCTCCTGTATGAACCATTCTATGTTCTTTCAAATTGCTTTCATATACAAAGGATTTTCCGCATGTAATACATTTATGAGGCCGCTCTCCTGTATGATCCATTGTATGTACTTTCAATTTTCTTTTAGATACAAAGGATTTTTCACAAGTAGTGCATATATGAGGTCTCTCTCCTGTATGAAACATTGTATGTATTTTCAATTTGCCTTTAGATACAAAGCATTTTCCGCATGTAATGCATTTATGAGGTCCCTTTCCTGTATGAACCATTGTATGTATTTTAAAATAGCTTTTATATACAAACGATTTTCCACAAGTAATGCATATATGAGGTCGCTCTCCTGAATGAACCATTTTATGTACTTTCAATTTGTTTTCAGTTACAAAGGATTTTCCGCATGTAATACACTTATGAGGTCGCTCTCCTGAATGAACCATAGTATGTACTTTCAATTTGCCTTTAGATACAAAGCATTTCCCACATGTAATGCATTTATAAGGAGACTTCCCAGAGTGTGTCAACAAATGACTTTTTACATGATTTAGCTTATAAAATGTTTTACCGCATGTTAAGCATTCATATGGGTGTTCATTTGTATGTTTTAATATATGAACCTTCATTTGATATTTCAATTTTAATGATTGTCCACATATTGGACACTTATGAAAAAGCTCTTTGGATTGCTTTGGCATTTTTAGCTTTGCCTTTCTATTGTTGTGAAACTCAGATTATCAGAATATCTAGTAAAAAATCAGGTGGTTTATTGGTAATGTTAAATGTTTGAATCTTCACTCTGTTATTTCTATAAGTTCAAGGTACTACCGTGGAGGGAGGTGTTGTCCTACGTACAATCCAAATTAGGACTCGTTTGGCAATTGGTTCTTATTTCTTATGCCTGAGTTCTTCTATTTTCATTCCTGAAAGAACACAACTTTCATTAGACAAACACTATCACACATACAGAATTTATTATGACCAATATATGTATATACAAATTGTCTTAACAATTGAAGGCCTTTTTACATGTATTACAAATATAAGGATGCTCATTGCTTTGAATTTATATGTGTTTGTTGTAATTGCTTTTGTTTGAGAAGGATTTTCTACATAAAGTATTTTCCACTTATGAGGCCACTCTCCCGTATGAACCATTGTATGTTTTTTAAATTGTTTGTTTTTAGATACAAAGGATTTTCTGCATACAATACTGTTTTGAAAAGAAATGTTAAAAACATATGTTTTTTATGCATTTTAACTTTCTAAGACGTAACTAAAGTCTTAATTATTATAGGTAACCATGATAGGTAGCGTTATCCCTGGTTTAATATAGTGTACAGTACATTGCAGTACCAATTGACTGGCAAATGAGTAATCCAAAATGTAATATCGCATGCTGGCTTAAAGCCCTGCACACACCAGAGCGATACTCCGTGCGATACTGGAGCGGGCGCGATACTTTTTCTTGGAAATTCTCTTGCGATACCAGTGGTCCGTGCGATACCATGGAGCCTTATGGAGCCGCACACACCAGAGCGAACCGCGATACGCGATACCGAGGCGAATGCGATACCGTAGCGATAGTATCGCGGTAACGCTGCATGCACTGTTTGCAGCGCTGTATTGCGGCGATACCAATGTGGCCAAACGATGAACTACTCAGTTTTGTATTTTCTCTGTACGTGTAAAAACAACAACAACATGTCGTGTATCACCGAACATTTACTTGAAGTTGTTTATACATACTCGATGCACTATGATTTATATCACGTTTTAGCAACTAGAAATTAATTTAAAATAGGGTTCGTCTTCATTATTTGTTATTAAACTACGTTTTTCTGAAGAATTTACAATAGAATTCCCAAACATTCAGACATATTAGATTTATTAATTATTTTAACACTTAAACATTTGATTTGAATTATCAATAGTTTTTCCAGTGCCGCTGTCAATCCAATGTTGGGTGATTGCTGACAGAATAACGTATTTAATACTGGTTTGATGATGATTCAAATTACTATTTAATAGTTCATACAATATTGTATTAGCTATAGCACAGCATATTGTAGAGGTTTTGCTAGTCAGACTAGACGAACTAGAGAGATGGTAGGTAATGGTGATGGTAATGGAGGTGGGTGGAATGCTAATTGATCCGTCAACTCATTGAAAAATATATCTACATACCAGTCTTACCTTAATGTGATTGGGGAGCGAGCTGGCGTAGTGGTTATAGCGCGGGACTCCAGTCCCTGAGGTCCCGGGTTCGATCCCCGCCAAGTCACCAATGGATTTTATCTAACTGGTAATGCCGCAACCCCTAGGTCTAGCCTGAAGCAATGTGAACAACAATCCCAGGCTCGTGCCTAGCGTCCTAGGAAAAAAAACCTTAAAGTGATTGCTAGCCGTTCTTCGGCGCTCGCTTCACGGTAGTGGGTACTTTCCTTTTCGATAATGCCAGAAATCAAACTCAGCAACTCGTCAAAACATTCTTGATTAATTCCAGAATATGTAGAATCTTGTTTAATCTTTTCTTGACTGGGTCATGAGCGTATATGGTACTCGCCAAATCGCAGCCGTTCTTTATTTATGTCGTATACCCACATTTTCCTTGCTCTCTAATCTTCTATAATAGCACGGCTAGTTAACAGAAAGGCTTCTTCTTCATCAGACCATGTCATAGTTTTAAGTTTACACACAGTACAGTATACAAACACTAACTATAACACAACACTTTTGCAACTAGAGAGCCTCACAACCACCGCACCCTCTGAGATGTACTGGCTTTCCCGCGCGCCCCTTTCCCGCTCTGGTGTGGAAGCACCTGTTTTCGCTGCGATATTATCGCCCAAGTATCGCAGATAAAATTCTAGGAATAGTATCGCGCGTCCCCAGCGATAAAGTATCGCTCCGGTGTGTACAGGGCTTAATGATACATCACTATCAGCTGTATCGAAGTAAACATAAATCAGCAATAATTGGCTTCAAATGCTATTCTTATGGAGAACATTTTGGCTATATCTTATTTCCTGGTAACTTTATGGGAATTCTGATATTTTCCCCCGAGTCCCTGCGGCCAAGACCTTTAATTTAAGACCCCTCCCACTTTTCTGCAACTTACCAGACGTCCACAAATTCTCTAGTAAAAGATTTTCTTACGGAAATATATATAAAAATAAGCAAATTGTAAAAAAAAACACATCCCTACATAAAACTGGCCGTAACTAACATTGAAATTGTCTTTCTGATCCATACGGATGATGACTTATCAATAAGAGAGTATGTTTAATCTAAGCTTATACTCTACTTATTCAATTTCATAACAAAATATTCATGACATTAAAAACATAAACATAACTAACTGTAAACAATCCTACTTTGACAGTTCTCATTGCGTATCACAGTTTTTTGTTGCTGCTTAGTTCAAATTAGCTGTTTAAATAAATGTTAAAAAATAATAGTACTGCACCCTGTTGGTAAAACCAAAGAAAATATAACCTAAAGGTTTAAAATAAAATAAAATTTTATAAAATTTTTAAAATATAACCTTTAGGTTCTATTTTCTTTGGTAAAACTTATAACTTTTTTCAATTTTGTATATCATAGAAACAACTATTTTAGTTAAAACAGCTGACTAAATTCTTTAATTGCCTTTAAATATGAATATTCATAAGGTTAACATGGGGAACTGCAGAGCCTCTGGGGCAGAGCCCGAAAGGATTTTTGAGATAATAATACGTCTATATGTTAATCGGGAATGTGAGCTATCATCATGCCAAATTTCAGCCCAATCCGTCCAGTGGTTATTGCGTGATTGAACTTCAAACAAACACACAAACTTTCACATTTATAATACTGTATTAGTATGATTTCACTCGTTTAAACCACAACCAAGATATTTTTTACCTCAAATAGAATAATGCAGCTGTCTTGAAGACAGCTCATATATTTTTATTCTTGGATAAGACGATTCCAATGATCTCCAAGTTCTCTGTACTGCACGAAGCCTTACAGATGTTCAACTAACTCATCAAAGTTTGGACAGGTCCTTGCAAGATAATTCAAGCTTTTCATAATATTGTCTTAAAGTGACATATCTATGTTATTCTCCTTATCAGATTTGGTCTGCATACAATACATTAGTTGTTACACTCCTTGCGCTCATCATTATAATACTTCTTTGTTATGTTTCACCGTTTCACCTAAATTTGCCAAATAATATTAAGATATTTTTAAAGTAGTATAGCCCAATAGTAGAAAGAAAAAGGTGCAGAACTTGACAAGTGGGTTTTCTTATGGCAGAAGATTGGACAATCGGTCTAAGCCAGGGCAGGATAAATAAAGTACCAAAGTATTCTGTGTACTGATTTATGTTTATTCATATTTCTTTTACCTAAAATTTTTGACTATAAACGGTAAAAAATCAGAAGACGAAGTTACTAAGTTATTAAATGTCAATAAGTGTTTGGGAGCCTGCAAGAAGTTGATCTCATCTAAAGTATTATTCCACAGAAAAAAATACAGCTATACAGGGTGTCCCACGTAAGGTGTCTCAAATTGATTGTGAAAAAAAAAACTTCTTAACGTACAAGGGGGAAATAAAACTATTTCTCGCTAAATTAACTCCAAGAAATAACGTAAAAATATTTTTTCCGATACAGGGTGTGCCAAAAACTGAGGGTCATTAGTTCCAATCTCGGAATTTTCAAACGTAAACATATAAACATATGTCATGTGATACACCATTTTAAAGTTAGTTAAAAAAAATGTAACTTTCAGTTTAATTTTTCTACGTAATTAGATTTTTGTTGGCAGTTCAAACTGCAGTAAACTCGTTTTTATGCCAGAAGTAATATATTTACAACATTTGAAGAAAATTTTTGAAGCAGTTTTCGAGATCTTTGTGCAAACATACATACATAAATACTTATACCTACTATTGGAAAATTTAAAAACAATGAGCATTTGCAAATTTTCAAAAATCAAATTTTTGGAATTTTAATTATTTCAATATAAATTGTAGCATAACACAGTAAAGCTAATTTTATAACTAGTACGATAATTTTACCGGAGAAGGGCTAAGTGCATTTGTATTGGAAACACAGAGTAATAAAAACATATTAATTTTTTCCCAAAAACTGCCACCATTTTGAAACGGAAACAGATAATTAATTATTGCTTCCTGTAAAATGTTTGCCTATTAAATAGCTTTAAAATTATGTACGACATGACATATGAGGTTTTTTATGAAATTCTTTGACATTTCAATTTTCCGAGATCGGAACCAAATTACAGTCTTTGGCACACCCTGTATCGGAAAAAGATAAAAACATTTTTACGTTATTCCTTGGGTCGATTTAGCGGAGAATAATTTTATTTCATCCTTTAGACAATAATTTAACTTATTCTGTTATATGGATGTGAAAAATGGGTACCGTCCAAGAATAATGAAAAACGACTCATGGTTTTTGAAAATAAAGCCCTAAGAAAAATATTTGAGAGGGAGAAATGTGAAATTAAATGAAAAACGTTTATTTATCCCAAGAATCAACTTAAACGGAGAGTATGTGGCGGATAAGGAAAAATAGAGTGATAAGATCACAACGTACGTAAGCTACAACTGGAAGTAAACGTACATTGGGAAGGCCGAAATTCAGATGGACTGACCAAGTATTGAATGATGTTAGGACAATGGGTGCAAACATCAACTTGGCAGAAGACAGTTCGGATGGAAGAA